GAAAGTACTGTGCTGAGGCTCAGCAGATGGCATAGTGGTTACATTGCTGGTCTCCTACGTAGTCGACCATGGTTCTAGTCCTGGACCTGACAGCTTAAAACTCACGCCAGGAGTATATGCATGCGTGCCCAAAATCCCGAGAGGAGAATGGAGGGAATTGCAACATGACAATCCCCCTGGGGGTTGATTTCTCACTTTCTCTCTCTCCCTGTCTGGTGAGTGCACACCTCCTATAACAAAAATCTCTCTCTTAAAAAAAAAGAAAGAAAGAAAGGGAGAAAATACTGTGCTCTGTTGTTTTATATATATGTTTCACTGATCTATTGAAGTTCCTGAAGCCCTTACGCCTGCTCCAAGAAGTAATTTACTTCCTTTTAATTTAAAGCAAAGATGAAACAATGTTAATCCACGGCCTAAACCATTCTCTCACCTGCAAGGGGAAAAAGTGCTTTCTGAATGGATGGAGACCAAGAGAGTTGCTTTGAGCCAAAAGCTGCCTTGCAGTTTAGCTCAGGCAGGATTTAGAAATGGCGTGAATAGTGCCTGCATTAGCCGATGGCATGGAGTGCTGAGTGCCAGCAGAGGAGATAAAATCAGACATATGTTTGGATATAAATGTGTTCTCTCTGTCTTTTTTCTTCTCTAATTTTAAGCCCCTGCTGCTTTGTTGCAGTCCATTGGTGGTGTCTTACTTGTGGGCTCTGACCTCGAGGTAGAAGCCAGAGGCGTGTGCGACCCACTTAGTCCTCTCCCAGTCTCTCCCCATCACCACTGAAGGCGGCCAGAGGCCTTGGACTCTGGCCCTCTTTCCTACCAACAATAGGAATGGTCTCGCAGGGACTCTGTGCGTGTTGTTCCACCCAGCACCCAGCAAGTTGCTGGCCTCGATACATGTTAAACAGCCGCGATAAAGCGAATGTCTCAGGGCTTAGAAACTAGCCTGTCTACCTCAACTCTCATTGATAGGAGGATGCAGCATTACACATAAGAGTGATTTAAGGGAAAAAGAAAAAAAAGTCCTTGAGCAGACTAAGAAAGTAGCAACTATAGCCATGGCACTTAAGAGCTAGTAATGGGGTACCAGCAGTTGGCATAATGGCTATGTCAGTGGACTCCCATGTAGTTGACCACGGTTCAAGTCCCAAGCCCGGTGGCTTAAACTAACATCGGGTGCATGTGCGCACGCGCGCTTAAGATGCAGAGAGGAGAACGGAGGAGAAGGGCATGGCCATTCCCCCAGGGGGTGATTTCTCACTTTCTGTCTCTCTGTCTTTCTGGAGAGCACATGTGCCCTACAGCAAAAACCTCTTTAAAAACTAGTAATGGGGTAAATAAAGTGGGGGAAGGAGTTAGAGAGTCCCCTAAGTCTCATTGTTGAGCCAAGTAAGCAGAGACCACTTCACTATGAAGAACTACTCTGGTAGGTGCTCTAAGACCTCTGTGCATGGGGCCAGCAGATGGCGTAATGGTTATGTTGCTGGACTCCCATGTAGTCGGCTGCAATTTGAGTCCCAGACCAGGAGAATGGAAAAGGGATTGTGGCAAGGCCATCCCCCCAAGGAGTGATTTCTCACTTTCTATCTCTCTGTCTCTGTCTTCCTGGTAAGCACATGTGCCCATAACAAAAACCTCTCTTTAAAAAAAAAAAAAGAAAAAGACCTCTGTCCATCCTGTACTCTGCAGAACTTCCAAGTCCAAGGTTGAAAAGAGGCCAAGCCACCCTTCTCACTGTAAACACTTTGTCACCTACACCTTGTACTTCAGGGGGAACGGTGAAGTGCATCCATCTGTAGGATCCTGCAGTTTCTGTCTGCCATCTGGGCTTTAAAAATCAGGAAACTGCCATGCAGTCCTGAGAATCCACCCCCTTAAGGAGCACTTGTGGTCCTTGGGCCAGCTGTGGACCCTCTGTGGTCACAATTTTGGTCAGGCCTTGGAGGGCAGTAGTTGGTAATGAAGGAGATTTCATATCTCTGAGAACAAGGAGAAGAGAACACAGAATTATCTATACGAAGGTCCCATTTTAACTGCATACTGGCAAGGAGAGAAATATGTTCTTGAGAGCCAATAAGAAGTCTGAGTGAGAAAGCACATGGAATTGAGAGTCAAGAGACCTGGGCTTTGGCCCCCCCTCTTCCACTACTAACTGGTAGTGTGACCTTGGATATGTCTTTCAATTTCTCTAGAGCTCAGTTTCCTTGACCATAAAATGTGAAGGGATTACACTAAATGATTTCTCACAGCCTGAAAAAAATCCATAATGAAAATTCTCTAATTCCATATAATCAGCACTAGAGTCTTTACCTCTAACATGTTGCTGTAACTACCCACCTGACAGCTACCAACCCATGTTCCTGTTCCCAGATAATAATCTTTACAACTTGGCCAGGTCTAAGGATGAGTCACTAGCAGCATTAAAGGCTGCACTTTCGGTGCTCACGGGACTCCTCTCTGAAAAGCTGTCCCAAGTGCCTGCTACAGAGAAGGACATCCCCAACATCATGACAAAGGAAGGTTACTGCTCTGGAAGCTGAAACTGCATGGTTTGAAGGGTAGACTCAACACAGAAAGAAACTACCCTTACAGCTTCAAAGATACCCATAGTTAAGGAACTGTATTCTCAGTCTCTCCTAACTCTTTTGAGGTTCCTTTTAGAAAATACTTTTTCAGATCCCAAGGCCTGAATAGGCTCATCCCCAATGCATTTTTTCTTAGGATTGTTCTTCAGGATTGTTTAAGGCCCATTTGTCTACCTCTCCCTGCAGACCTTTGTTTAGCCACAGACCCTCTGCCATTACACAGTCACCGCATAATTCCCTGACCTCCCAACAGCTGTCCAACAAAAGGAGCGAGAGGAAACTGGCTCCCCGTCCTCTATTTCTGAAGCAGCAACTTCCTCCACATTGCCTCTGAGTGTATATCCGGGAACAGCCTGAGTTGTCTTGTAGCACTGGGAAAGAGAGTAATTTCTTGCCTTTTCAAATGGTCCTAGCCAAGTCCCACCCCTTGCTCTGCTGCAGTTTCCTTTCTTTTTATTGGGGGTAGGGAGCGGCAGAGGGAACATATCTGTAAAACCTGAGTGGCAATTTATAAGTCTGTGTCCAGGCATACATGCTGCCACAAACACTGATACCCAGAAATGATCTATATACCCAGGAGGATTAAAAATTGGCCCTTTCTTAGCCATTTCTTAGCCAACTGCTGCAAAGTACTGCCTCTTTTCCTTCCTCGGTGCCAGAGGGCTCACACCCACTCAGTCCTGATTTCCCTGCATTAGTATAAATACTGGCGCTGAAGAAACACGGGGTCCCGGTTCATGCAGCCTCCCTGGACGTCATTGCTCAGTAAGCATCAGGAGACAGACACCCACCATCACCAAGACGTGTTTGAGTATTTGGCACCCACAGAACAGACGCAACACTGCCTGTGAGAAACTGAAGCCAGACTACATTACTGCAGACCTCTCAGATCCAGGCCCTCCAGGGTCTTTGGGTAGAGCTGGTGCTGCCTGACCAGCAGCTTCTGCTGAGGTGGCATTGAACTCTGGCCAGGTCCCAGAAGCTGAGGCTGACCCATTTCCCCTGCTTTTCCAGGGCACAGGGAATTTGGTTATACCCCCAACAAAGCCAGGGACTAACACACTTAGCTCGTGGAAGGTGCACTAGAATCGGGGTACTTTTATTTAAGCTAAGGAGATGTTGACAGCTTTAGCATTTTCCCATATTTAAAAAAAAAATTAACATTTGTCTCCCCCCCCCCCCATTGGACCCCCCCCCCCCCCCCCCCCCCCTTTTTTTTTTTTTTTTTAAATAGAAATGACTTGGTCAATGTTTGTAAGAATCTATAGGTTCAAGGTCTTACTCAATTTAACCCTTTGGGGACATTGAATTAAAAATTGAACAATATTTATTAAAATACAAAAATACACTTTTCTCACATTACAATCAGTGTTCTTTTGTTGGCATTCCCCCCCACCCAGACCACCCCCTTTCAAATCTGAACCCTTTATTTCCTTTTAAAGCTAAAATAATAACTGAAAGAAGTTACATCGTTAAATGGACCAGAATAACAGAGATCTCTGCCTTCCCCACCCACACCCACCCGTTCTTTTCCACCTCCTGTTGAGGTAGGCCTGGGAGAGGGAAGCTTCCCCCCATTGTGCTCCATTCAACAGAACTCCATGCAGAACTCACTCGTGTGTGCATGCGTGTCACTTTTGTTGTGGATTTCACATCTTTTAATGAACCATCCTGGTTAGGAAAGACTTCAGTACTTTAAGTGAGCCTGTGCCCTTTTCGTCTCTCCTTTTTCATCTCTACCCATATTCTGCCCCCACCTCATCACCACAACCACTTGACATCAGCTGTAATAATCCCTAATGAATCAGCATTTAGAATAGTCACCAAATCACAAGCATGAGAAAAGCTTCCACTCCCCCAAGCTCCCCACTCCCAGCCTTTCCTCCCTTTCCACCTTAAAACAAACAAAACCTTTTTAAAAAATCATAAAATGCCATCATTGTCTACAATCATTTGTCAAATACCAGAAACAACAGGTGGACATGGCACAATGCTAATTTATGGCCTCCTGTGAATACATTCTCTCTGCTCCTGCTCTCCCTCCACACCCTCCCCAGTTGCCGCACCCCCTTCAGGGGCCTCCTCCTTCTCATGGGAAACCCTGAATAGACACTTGCCTTGCAGAGTGGGTTAAGCCCAACTGCAGGAATCTGGTGCAATGTGAAAGCATTCGACTGAGAGCTACGCCAGCTCCCTTCCTTCTCTGCGCCCTCCTGAAGCACTGTCAGGCGAGGCACATGTGTGTTCCAGTGCACAAACCCCAGAGACTCGTGCACATGGACCAGGACTTAGCCCCTTTAAGGATTCATTTGAATTGGTGGTTTTCCTGTTTAAAATACATTTACAGATCTGTCTTCCCCTTGGCCTCTAAAGAAAAATATTATTGCCTCAACATTTTGGCACAGTACAAATTCATGGTGCTTTTTTTTTTTTTTTTTTTTGTATTTTCTTTTTAAATAAGATAAATCTGCAAAGACAGCTCTCAGCTTAAGAAAGATGTCTGTAGAAATGGGTATTCTTGTATCCTATGAAGCATCTTCTTAGAAAATGACAAGAGTCAACCTCTCTCTCCTATCACTTCTGCAGCCTGTACCCACCTCTTAAGGGATGTTCATTGTTTTAGTTTGTTTTATCTTAGCAACCTTATACCAGAAATCCCATCTGGCAACATAGCAAGTTGATTTGTGGTTTGTACCCCACAACATTCCCAACATTCCCCTCCCCCTCCCCCTTTAAATAGAACTTACAAGTTAGAAAATAGTTTTGTTTTGATTTTTTTGTTTTTAAATTTTAATATAATCTGTTTTTTTTAACCAGCCCATAGATTTAATATATAAGCATATACAAGAAAAAGTCTCTCCCCACTCTGTACAAAAGTTGCTGTCTTTTTTTTTTTTTTGTGCATTCTATTGCATTTTATAAGTTTTTTGGGGGAGGGGGTGTCATATTTGAGTTTCCTGTACCTTGTCCTTGGTATGGGTCTGAATTATGTAAGGTTCAGAGATAGTGGTGACTGTGGGGTGCAGAGAGTTCCCCAGGCTGTTTTCTGTCCAGTGGGCCCCATGTGCTGGTTTGTAGGTGTTGTAGTTAATATGGTCATGAATTGTGGGCAGCACTACTGCCCCCTCACCTGATACACCGGATGGAGCTGCTGTTGCTGCTGCTGCAGATGCCGCCGCTGGGATGTCTTCATCCACCTGGATAATCTCAACTGTCCGGGCGGCTGTCACTGTACTCCGCTGCTGGTGCCGCTTCCGAAGTTTGTAGAAGACAATCAACATGGCGGCAGCCAGGAGAGTCACTGCCACAAAGCAGCCAATGATGATCTTGGTGGTCTTCATGACTTCATCCAGGCTGGTCTGCATCTTGTCAGTGGTGTCTGTTGCGGGTACTGCCACCTGCTTGGGCACACGGGTAGTCTGAATGAGCACCGTGGTAGAGGTGGTATATGCCGGCTGGTAACCAGTAGACGTGGTAGGAACAGGCTTGTACTTCGGTGTTGTGTCCTCAGGCGAGATCTCCGTGGTCTCCACTGTCACTGTGGTGAAGAAGCTGTAGTTGGAGGTGTTGAGCTCGGCCGTGCTCACATTGAGGTAGGCCGAGGCATTGGAGTTGCCTGCCACATTGGTCACCATGCATGTGTATACCCCCGTGTCTGAGAGCAGCACATGGGAAAAGTTCAAGGTGCCATCATTGAGGACAGAGATCCGTGGGTGGCGGGAGGCGTGGCTGAGCACTGTCCCATTGGGCAGCAACCACTTCACAGAGGACATAGGGGGAGTCCGACACTTAAGTTCTGCCATCCGACCTTCGGAGATATTGAGATCCCGAGGGGCATCCATGATGAAGGGGGCAGAGCACTGGAAGGAGGCCTGGTCCACTTCCACCAGGTAGCGGCCACGCATGTGCATGGGCGCGTGACAGCGGCCACAGCAGGTAGAGTTGGTGGGGATATATTCCCGAAGCCACCAGGCTAGCCACAGAATATCACAATCACAGTTCCAGGGATTGTGGTGTAGGTGCAACTCCACCAGGTACCTCAGTGGGGTGAAGAGGTCGTGGGGCAAAGAAGAGAGGTTATTGTGGGCCAAGTTGAGCTCCACAAGTGAAGCCAGCCCATCAAAAGCATTCCGCTCAATCAAGCTGACCTGTGAGTTCATGACCCACAGCTTCTTGAGGGAGCTGAGGCCATGGAAGGAGCCAGGCCTGATCTCGGGGAAGTGGTTCCCTGACATCTCTAGCTCCTCCAGCCCCACCAAGGGGGTGAGGTTGGGCATGTCTTTAATGTTGCACATGCCCAAGTTCAGGTACTTGAGGTTAAACAGTCCCTCAAAAGCCCCCTCAGAGATGTACTCCAGCTTCTTGAGCTCCCCCAAGTCCAGGCGCATGAGGGAGGGCACCCGGTTGAAGGCATAGGAGGGGATGCTTTCTATGGGGTTGTTGCGAAGCCAGAGCTCCCGCAGCTTGGACAGGTATTCAAAGGCCCCGCTGGGGATGACTGTCAGCCAGTTGTCAAAGAGCTCCAGGGTGTTGAGGCTGGCCAGACCATTGAAGGCCCCCACCTCGATCTGTCGGATGGAGTTCCTGCCCAACTGCAGGACCTCCAGGTGGTGGAGGTGTCGGAAGGTGTCGGCCTGGATCATCTGGATGTTGTTTTCCATGAGGTTGAGGTACCGGGTGTTGGAGGGAATACCCTGGGGGACCTCAGACAGGCCCCTGCGGGTGCACACCACCTTGCTGAACTGGTTACTGCACGAGCACACGGAGGGGCAGTTCTGGGGCCCGGCCGAGGCGGCAGCAGCGATGGCTGCACACAGAATCCACACTTGCGCCGTGAGGTAGACGACGGGGAGCAGGACGGCATTCCAGGTGTGGTGCACAGTTACCTGCCACAAGAGCTTCATGGTGTGGCACGTTCATAATTCACCATCGCCTGGGATTTTGGCTCGGAAAGGAGAACCAGCCCTACCCCGGCTTAAGTGAGCTAGGAGCTCCTCTTTCCATCTGGAGAAGGAGGTGGGAGGGGGCGATTAGAGAGACGGAGCAGATCGGCCGGAAAAAAAAGCCTGCCAAACTAACGAGCGACCCCTCTTCTTCTCCCAGCCCACCCTCAAGGCTAGTCCTCCGAAAGCCAGGACTTTTTCACCCACCTTACAACCATCCCCACCCAATTCGCTGTCACCTACCTCGGAAGGGAGGCAGGAAAGAACTGGCGTGGTGTCCTTAAGCTTTCTCCACGGGAGCCGGGCACCTCGTTCCCATTCTGACTTCTTAGTTTTAATTAACAAAAGGGGGAAGTAGTGGGGGCGGGGA